GAACTTTGAGATTGTTAACCGCTTCAGCTAGCTTGGTTTCACAATTAACACTTTGGCACCAGAAGTCAGGAAATGAAAAGACGAACTGCATTGGGAAAGTCTGCTGTCAGGGACCTCTCTAGAACACCAGAGAGCAATGACATCAGTCTGGAGACTAAGGTGCATCTTATACAGGCCATGGTCTTTATAATTACTTGCTACACATCAGAGAGCTGGACAATAACTAAGGATGACAGAAGAATCAATGCCTTTGAGCTGTGGTGCCGAAGAAGTGTGTTGAACATACTGTAGACTGCTAGGAGAACAAATAGGTCTGTCTTAGAAAGGATAAAACCAAATTGCTCTTTGGAGGCAAGGATTTTGAAGCTCCATCACACATACTTTGGGCATGTGGCCGGAGGAACCAGTCCTTAGAGAAGGACATCATGCTTTGGAAGGAGGGAGGGACAGCACAGGAGAGGAAGATGCAGGATGAGATAGATTGACTCAGTGACTGGAGAAATGAGATTAGGTCTGTTGGAGAGAGTGAGTTTGGCTCAGGATAGGGCAGGGTTCAGAACTATTGTACATATGGGGTCACTATGAGTTGCAGGCGACTCAATGGCATAAAACAACAACAGCAACAATTAATTACTTGATGTAAGGAGTTCCGGTCACCTAGTGGGTAGGGAGGTATGCTGCCAACTCAAAGGTGATACCTCTCTGGAGACCCAAATCCACAAGTGTCTCTGAGTGAGAAAGATCAGCAATCTCCTCTATGTGATTTATAGCCTCTGAAAACACTCTGGAGGGTCAGCTATGAGTCATTTCTAACTCAACAGCAATGGATTTGATTTTTAAAAAATATTAATATCCAAAATCCATTTATTGGAGAATGAAATTACAGCTAGATACATTTAATTCTCATTTTCATTACAATTTCTGTTAACTCATACATCCATGAAATCTAAAATCAACCAATGCTACTTCATTAAGGTAGGTGAATTTTGAGATTAATTTTTGTTGTAGGGGGCTGTCCCAAGCATTGTAAAATGTCCTGGCCAAAGAATAGCCCTGCTCTTTCTAGTGCTTGAAAACCACTGATCTAGGTAATACATAATACCACCTCTTCTTGTCAAGGCGCTCTCCAAAGTCCATCCCAGACAATGACAACACAATAGATTTGCAGTTCTAACTCCCTACTTGCTCCTCCTCTACTGAAGAATCTTCAACAGCTACCCATCACCTACATCTCTAAAACCACCAAAGCTTCCTAAGTAGGAGGCCTATCTTCTCATCTTCATTGTTGCTGTTATGAGGAGCCCTCAAGTTGGACAGGCTCATAGCTAATCTTCTGGAAGCTTTTCAGAAGGCAGGTTATCAGAGCCTGTACATTGTAAATTGCACTGGAGGAGACTGTCCATCTTTCTCCCAAGGAACCGTTGTTGAATTTGAAACTCTGGCTTCCAGTTGGCAGTGCAACTCTTTACCCACTAAGCCACCAGAGCTCCATAATTAGCTACCTTTTTCTTCTTTCCAGCATTCTTCCCCCATCCCTCAGGTTCATAATTTATTGTACAAATAGAGCATCACATGAGCTGCATTAGCTTCTTTAAACATGAGCAAGTAGCAGTTGAGGTTCAGACAGTTTCTAATCCCATTGATGTTGCTTTCACAGTTGGAGATTTTCTTAGACTTTAACTTGAAGTATAGGACAAACAAAGAACAAAGCAATGTTTCCACATGTGGCCAGCACACAATTCATTCTACCTGTGAGTATATAAGAGTTTAAATATTTTTTAATACCAGTGAGCTTGAATTGAGTATCACTTTCTGCCCCTGCCATGATTTCAATCTTGCCAAAGTCACAAATCCCTCAGCCTTTGTCCCTAAATATACAAAGCTGACTCTCTGCCCAGCCATAAGAAGTCACTCTTTTCTTTCGTACTCTTTCTCAAGGGAGCTCTGGTTGCATCGTCCATTAACGTTGCTATGTGCTAAGTCAGAACCAATTCATATTATAGCTGACCATCTGGCAGGTTTTCAGAAGGCAACTGTCCATCTTTCTCCCATGGAGCCGCTGATGCATTTGAACCACCTGTCCTCAAGTTGACAGCACAACTCTTCACCCACTAGGTTACCCCTTCTTCCAAGTATTCTTGAACTCTAGACAATGTGTTTTACTAATCCCTGTCTATATGCTTTTTAATGTTTTGTTTATAAAAAACAAAAGTTTACAGAAAAGTTGGATTTTCATTCATTCATCGATGCATGGTTTTCTCCTGTCTCCCTCCCTCTCCCCATTCGCAGTCCTCTTTGCAATGTACCTCTTATTCTGAAGCATTGTTTTACATATAGTGTCTAATCCTATATTCTTTTTAAACAGTTCTTTCCCTCTTCTGTTCCAATACAGTGGTCATTATCTATCCATTCTTCTCCTATTCTCTGCCCAATCCGCCGTGTCAATCCTTCTTCATAACAGTGGTATAATGTAGTATTTGTCCTTTTGATACTGAGACATTTCCCTCAGCATAATGATCACCCATGGATGTAATGTTTTACGAGTTCATTATTTTCCATCATGTGAGCATACCACAGTTTTTCTATCCATTTGTTTGTTGATGGGCACTTGGGTTATTTCCATCTCTTTGCTATTGGGAATAACACAGCAATAAACATGGGTGTGAATCCCTGTCTATAGTCTGTTCTTGTGGCAACTTCTACCTATGGACCCTTCAGGAACATAGATGAGAAGATAAAGGAAGTACCACTCCAGAAGGAAGTACCACTCCAGAAGGAAGTACTGTTCCAGAAGCTTATTCTAGTGGATTCAATTCTTGCGTTTTCCTGAGTATAGGCACCGCCCAGCTCAGTGAGATCTGTCCAGCTCGGCAAGATTCAGGCCCCAGAGATCTTGCACTTACAAATGATAACTGCTCCTCATCTACCCTATGAATCCCAAGCAAGGATTATCAATTCAAAGAAGGCCCTTCTCCCTGCAAATGGAGTGGCTGATAACAAGAATAAAGGATGTGCTACCCCTCCGAATTAAATTTTACCTTCTGAAGCCCCTTCATCATTAAAGCCATTGTTGTCATCATCCTTCTTATTGTTGTTGCTGTCCTGGAGTTGACTTTGACTCATGGTGACTGCATGGATGCAGAGGTAGAACTGCTCCAGGGGGTTCCCAAGACTCTGACCTTTCTGAAACAAATCGCCAGTCCTATTTTCCGAAACACCTCTAGGTAAGTTTAAACCATCAGTCTCTTAGCTAGTGGTTGTGTGCTGAGACATTGTACCACTCAGAGACCTACTGAGTTGGAATCAATTCATAACGTCTTTATTATTTCCTTTTATGCCAGGCTTTGGCAGTACTTTAATTGTGCTGCTGACAGAAAAGTTGGCAGTTTGAATCCACCAGCTACTCCTTGGAGAAAGTCTCCTCCCATAAACATTTACAGGCTCAGGAACCCAGTTTAGGGCCAGTGGTGTAGGGCAGAGATCTGATGGTATACTCCATAGGGATTGTGCTACTAACTTACAGGCAGAGCCTCTTTTGCAGTTTGAGTCCATGCATGGCTCTGAAGGAGAAAGAAGAGCAGTTTTCTCCCACATGATTTACAACTTTGGAAACCTGCTGGATGGTCAGCTATGAGTCGATCCCAACTCGTGCAATGACTTGACTTGATGAGTCGGAATCAACTTGAGGGCAGTGGTTATTAGTGCTAAACAATCCATCTACATTGCTTGGCTAATCCTTCCTTTACAGCTATACCCTAATACTCCATGGCATGATTATTTTCCCAATTTTATATATGTGCACTCTGAGCTTTAGGGAAGTCACTAGTTTAAATTTATCAGCTACGGTCACAAGCCTTCAAACATTTATTGTCTTTCGGCCCTTATTCCATCCAGTACACCCTCCTCACTGCTAAATTTCCCAGGACAGGCAGCTCCCAGGTTGCTTAAGACTCAGATCCTTTTGTTCTCCACCTCCTCCTTCAAATGACTATTCTGGAACTACTCAAAGGAGGGAGGCACTTGTGGGAAAGGGGGTGGGCAGACAGCATCTCTATAGGCCTAATCTTCAGACAATGGAGGAACTAGAGAACTGACCTTCTAGGGGTCAGAACAAAGGGCAGAGCAAGGGGTGAGCAGGCCCCAGCTGCACCTCCTCCTTCCTTTCCTCTGTCCAACCCTGCAGCACCATCGATCCACCTTCCCAGCAAGCTCTCCCTCTCTGCCCTAAGCTGGGCCTAACTTGGCTGGAGGCCTGGGGGAATCTACTCCAGGGGCTGGGGAGACAGGGCTACCTTAGGAAAGAGGAATGGGGGGGGGGAAACACACACACACACACACACACACACACACACACACAGCCTGAGGGGAGAAATTTCTTCTGGAAAAATCGGAGGGGCTTCTTAGAGATGGTGGGGTGAAGGAGGTTCAGAGCCAGGACCACCCAGTTGGGAGTCAGGAGGGCCCCAGCAGATTAGAGACTTTGGATAGAGCAAGCATCACAGGCTGTAATTACCCCAGAAGCGCAGGGACGACGCCAACCACAGGGTGCTGGAGGAAGGGCAGCAAGGTTCCCAGCCCTGCTTCCATGCCAGTCATCACCAGGGCAGAGAAAGGGTAGCATTCGGTTCCTGTGACCTTCCTTTATGCCCCTGTTCCATCCCCGACGCCCCCTAGGCGATTTTGTTTTAAGTGGGTTTAGGAGACAAGTTAGACGCAGAGTTGCCCTTTCAGGATCAGAGGCAAGGCCAGGGGTAGAGTCCTCATGTTCCAGGGTGGGACTGGGGACTCCCAGGCCAGCTCCCCCCCAAGTCCCAGTGGCGGGTGAGTCACCCGAGCGCTCCCTACATAGTCGTCTCGCGCTGCAGCACGTACCAACGCACGGCCGAAGGGGGAGGAAGCTGGACCCTTCCTCTTCAGCTTTAGTCCCAGCTCCACTGCCGCTGCGGAGAAGGCACCTGGACACTTGACACCTTCAATTCAATGGCGGAGGTGGGTGGGAGGCCGGCGCAGATCCGCAGTGCAGAGGTCCAGAGTGGCTGCGGGGGCGGGCCTCCCCTTCCCGCACTTGGTACGCGCCAGCGGCGAGGCCATGCCCAGCCCCGACTGTACAATAGGGTTGGGCCGCGGCTGGGACTGGGCCGGCGCCGGACACAGCGCAGGATCGCGGCCGGAGAGGACAGGCGTTGAGCGACTCGCGACTCCGAGCCTCACAGGCCCTCAGCCGTGACAGACTCGACGTTCCCCAAGCGCTTGTCTCCGAGCCGTTACCCGCCGGGCTGGGCCGAGCGTGATGCGCCGTGGGACCCCAGTCCTGGCCGCCGGCCGCCGCCGCCGATGCCGCTGAGACCCGGGACCCCTTAGTGACGCTGCAGCCATGGAGAGTGGTCCGCGTGCGGAGCCGGGCCCCGGCGCACCCCCAGGTATCCCGGGCGCCGCGCAGACGCGATGTTGGGGGAGATCGAGGGCCTGCTGGGGCGCCAAGGATGGGGCAGGCCCGCTGGGCGGGGACCCCTCCCCCGCCGCGCCCTCTGACCACTTGGAAGTTTAAAAATAAAGACTGCGGTGGCGGCCGCGGCTCAGGGCCATCGACGCATCTTCTGACAGCTGCCCCCTCCCCCATCCCGAACACCCAGACGCACTAGGTGGCGGGATTCTTGGGGACTCGGCTTCAGAGTTCTTGGGGTGCCCCGATGCCCCAGACCATTGCCATCTCGACTTGGCACCCTCACTGCCTTCCTGATCCACCCCATGCGCTCAATCCTCTCCGACTGAACTGAGGCTTCTGTCTCTGTCCCCATCCCTGGTGGACACGTGTAACCCCAGTCGAGATGTGTGTATGGGGGGATCCAGATTCTCAAGCCTGGCTGTCCTGCATACCAAAGCCTAGGCCCTGGCGCCCCCCACGCCCAGGCCCTAGCCCAGACCTCCCCCACCCGTCCCCCCATCCCTCCAGCTGCCGCGCAAAGGGCCTGTTGCTGCCACCGGCCGGCCTGGAGGGGAGGGGATAGGAGGGGGAGGCCTTTGCCGGCGGCTGCCAAGTAACCCGCCGGATAAAGGCGAGGGGGAGGGGGAGGCGGCATTGTTAGGGGTGAGGGCGGGAGCTGGGGAGTGGGCCGCTGCTCTGTCGCCTGGCCTATTCCGGAGCCCACCCAGCCTGATTTGGGGAAGAGGGAGGCAAAAGTAAATTTGCTAATCTTGCCGCCCTTCTTTCCCGGCCTCTCTGGGCCTCTCACTGGAGAATGAGGTGAAGGCTCAAGGCCGGCACTCCTGGGACCAGCCACATCATTGCCCAGACGGAGGCGTCTCGGACCTCACCTCCTTACTTGTGCACACTCCAGGCCCTAGACCACCATCCTCGTCTCTTCACCCTGACCCCACCAAGCCACTAGTACCCTGGACTTCTGTAAATCTCATTCGTAGCTGAGGGGTTAGTTTCTGTTTGGGCCTGGTGTTGGAAAGATCCAATTTTTCTTTCTGAAAGGGGAGGGAAGAGTGTGATTTGTGAGGATCCAAGTTCTGTTCCCAATGACTCAGGGGTGGGAGATGACCCCTTCTCCTCTCTCCAAGGTGTCCTGGAGCCTAATCCTGTCACCTCCCTACCCCCTGGGGCGTAGGCCCAGGATGAAACAGTGTCTGTGGGTGTGGAGAGTCCAGGATAAGGTGGGGCTGCTTAGCTGTGGGTGGGCTCCTCCCCATGCCAGCATAGGTGCTTCAAGAGACCCTGTGGGTGTGGGAGCTGAGAGGAGGGTGTCATCAGGCTGGTGTATTTGGGAGGTTTGTAGGCTGTGCTGGAAATAAGAGTGCCTCTGCAAAGAGGACATCCAAAGAAGCCCCAGCCTGGACCCACCTGCCTCTGGCCCTCTGCACTGAGAGTCTCTGACCCTAGTGTGTACCTGAGGGGGGTGATGGATGTGCAGTATACAAGGGCCTGTGTGGAAAGCTGATTTGTAATTAGGGCAGTCGAGTGAGAAGCCTGCATTGAGTATGAGGGTATGGGTTTGAGATGCTTGTCTGAAATGGAGGATTTGGATAGGGAGGAGGTGATTGCATATTGGTACACTCTTCTATACAGAGTTGTAGACAGAATTAAATGAAAACCTGGATAAGGATGGGAGATGGTCCCTACACCAAGAGAAGCTGAGGACAGGGCCTCCTTATTATGAAGAAAGGTTTTCCTGAATGTACATTCCATACAACAAGCCACTGACGCCTGCTGTGTTCACAGCATGTGCCCAGTGAGAATTTGAGGCATGGGCTGAGACTGAGCATACACAACACGATCTCTGCCCTCCTAGTTCACTTTGCTCACTGGCACACAAAGCAGTAACAGGAGGCAGCGTGGAGCTGGGGACAAGTGTGATGCCAGCTTTTGGGTCAGAGACTTGGATGGCAATTCCAGCAAGCCATTTACCATGTACTGGATGGAGGCAAGTGCCTCCTCAAGCCATATTTTCTGCCCCTAGAAAAAAAGAGTAGTGTTGCCAGCCTAATCTGAAAGTTAGCGATGATGTACCTAAAGGAACTTGGCACACAGCTACTCCATCAGGTGTTATAATCATTATTGCGGTTATGCTCCCTGGAACTGGTGCCAGCAGGGAGGTAGGAGGTATAGCGGGTGGGGACAAGAGGTGGGAGTCTGGTTAAGAGTGTAGACTCTGGAATCAAACCGTTTTAAGTCTCTACTTTATGACTTAATACTGTGTAACCTTGGGCGTATTGCTTAAACCTAAATCCTAGGTTTCCATCTATAAAATGAGAATTGTGCTAGAAAATATCTTGCAGAAATACTAGGATCATTACATTAGATGAGACCATAAAACACTTAGCACAGGCCCTGGCATGAAGTTAGAGCTCAGGAAACCCTGGCTATTTTATTGTTTTTGTTGTTCTTTTTCTTTCCTTTGGAGATCTGAGAAGGAGGTGATGGATAATTAGAACTTCAGCAGGTAAATGTAGGGCAAGAGGTGGGAGGTGGAGGAGAGTTAAGGACAGGCATAAGTCAGGATTTATCTGGGGAGCAAAGGCCCCTGTGCCTGGAGCAGGGCTGTGGGAGTAAGAGAGAAAGCCTCTGAGGTAAGTGCAACCAGCTGTCCGTCACTGGTCAGGCCAGGCTGGTGCACCACCACATGCCAGCTCAATGCTGGCTGTACAGATGGCAGAGAAGTGAATCAGAGAGAGTCCTTACCCTTGGGGAGCTACCAGTCTAGCAAGGGAGGCAGGTGTGTTCACAGAAGCTTGAAGTCTGGGGAGGAAGCCCAGGTGTCTTGGTAATACCTCTCTGAGCAATAGGTGCTGCATGAAAGGCTTCACAGAGGAGGAGGCATTTGAAGTGGGGAGAGAATGAGTAGAAGTTGATGAAACTGCTCTAAAGGCTGCAGCCACTCGGCTGTGTGGCATGTCCCACCGACAGCTTTCCAGCTCCTACCCAGCCTTGGTCTGGCAGGCCCAGTAATGAGGTCTCTAATGAATCTCTGAGAAGCCCTGGTGATGCAGTGATTAAGTGCTCAGCTAGTAACCAAGAAAATAGCCATTCAAACACCTCCCCTCCAATCCCCAGCTACTGGGTGGCACTCTGCTAACATTAAGATTTACAGCCCTGAAAATCCTATAGGACAGACTTACAGGGTCACTATGAGTTGGAATGAACTCAACACCAGTGGGATTTTTTTATTTAATGAGTCCCTAATGTGTACTCATGCATATGCAAATGAGGAAGAAGGGGCATTTAGCCAACTTAGGCCTCCTCCCTTAGGATGGGCACTACCAGCTGTTAACTGGGGCAGAGCTGGGGGATGGTAAAGAGGCTGAAAGCAGGACCCAGACTAGAGTGTGGCACTTACTTGAAGGCTGTCAGAGCAAGTCTCAGATCTGACCAAGGCTGCAAGTTAGGCCACAAGAAACTGGGAACCACGTCCTTGAGTTCCCGCTGGGCCTTGGGGCCAGCGAGGGAGCCAATGAGCCAGGCCACATAATGCAGCTTTGTTGGCTGGTGGTAGCTCTGCCTGGCACCCAGGGGCACAGGCTTCAATGTCTCTCCATCACCTCTCAGCTGCAGCTTTGGCCTGAGGCGGGCAAGCGGAGAGCACAGTCAGGAATCCAGGAACTGCCCCCATTAGCTCTCCTCACCATTCTTAGAGAAGAAACAGACCATGCAAGAGCCTTTGGTGGACCAAATTATCTCTGACTCCCTTTTATTAAGGACCTTCTCTGTGCCAGATACAATGCTAAATATGTCACCTATGTGTCATTTGATCCTCATAACAATCTCATAAGCAAGAACGATTATTATCCCCATTTTACAGATAGAGCTCAGAGAGATGAAGTTACTTGGCCAAAGTCCCATAGCTAGGGATTGGCAGAAGCAGGATTTGAATCCTGGTCCATCTAGTGCGGGAACTCTGCACCATATTTCCTTTCTGATTGTTATGACAGAGACTGTCTATGATCTTCAGGCATCATAGTCTTGGGTTTCCAGAATCTTTACTCTGGCAGGCAGAGATGGGCCACCAGGACGCCAGGGCCTCCCTGAATCAATCCAGAGCAGTCTGGGCCAGAAGGAGACTCTATTCAAAGAGTAGTGAAAATCTAGCCAGGAACCATCCTTAGGCCATGGGCTGAAGCAGGACCGTCACCCTCACTCAGCTTCAGTGTAGGCAAGCCTGCTGGGGCTGAGGAAGGGACATGGCTGGGCCCTAGGCTGCAAGATGGGGTCATTTCCTGCTGCCTAAAATAACAGGAAGTGGGTGCTCCTGATTGGAGGCTGGGAACAATGACCACCAGAAGGATCTGGAGTCTCTGCTGGGCTCTTGTGACCTCTGGTGTTCTGCAGCCTCTGAGGCCTATTACTCATGCTCTGACAACTGTCAGACTGGCAGCTCCCCTCCTAGTGCACTCTCAGAGCTGGCTTGGTCCTCTCCAGGTCCAGAGCAATGCTGGCCCCTCAGCTTCCCCTTTGTCCCAGCCTGACCATCTGGCAACCCTTAGGGTTTGTCTTTCATTCCTCTAACACAAACTTCTCTATAAGAGAAACCCGGGAGGCTGTCTCCACCAGAGACTGGAGACGCTGACCTGTCACACCACTTCCGGGTCCAGTCCCCACCTCTGCTAGCCCTTCCAGCTGTGTGGCTTGAAAGAGTATTAAACCCTCTAAATCTGTTTCTTTTTGTAAAACAGGCTAATACTATCTACCTCATAGTATTGTGGGGCAGATTAAATGAACTATGTTTGTAAAGGGGTTTTAAAGTTTAAAACACTTTAAGATGTTGGTACTTGAAGTTTGTGCCTGACAAGAGCATTGCTTGTTGCTGGTAAGGGGCAGAGCAGAAGTGACTTGGCTGAGGCCACATAAATGTACTGGGCCATTGTGACTCCATGTGTTTGCACTTGTCTTTGCAGCTGTATGCCAGGGCTGTTTCCTGTG